TTGTGTTTCTTGGAAGATTTTTTTTGATATATTCTTCTAGGTCTTTTTTCAAATCAACTGCAAACAAGAGAACAAATACAGAAAGCAAATTTAGTCATAGCTTCACTGCAGCTGCACGTAGAATAAAAACAGCAAAACTGTGTAGCATGCAGAGTGATCAAAAAGCTCTTTTAGAAGTTCTACACTTTATGTTAGTTGACAATCTTCAATCTTGAAATGTTCAATTTCAGTGAAGTCATTCCAGGTAGTGCACCCAGTTCTAAGTCCCCTTGCCACTTTTTGTAGCTTTGCAATCATGTTATCCTATTAAGTGTTTCTCTTTCCCCTGCTGCTGTGTGAGACATCTATGGAGACAAAATGGCAACTGGCTATACAGGGAAAAAGATGGAACTGGCCAAGCGCTGTGTGCTGACAGCACAGCCTAACATGCTGACCAATATTGCCTCAATGTTTCCTTGTTCCTGTATAGCTCTGTCTGTATCCACCTGCTGTCTCTTGTTTTATACTTAGATTGTAAGCTCTTTGGAGCAAAGATAATCTTGTTTTGCTCTGTGTTTGTACAGTACCAAGCACAATGGGGTCCTCGTCTATGACTGGGGTTTCTAGGTGCTAATAATTAATTAATTAATTAATGAACACAAAAAGGAATATTTCTCTCTCTAATCTCTTTCCAACGTAGCTATCTTGGGTGTTTATTTGTAGCAATAGCAGATATAACACTTTCGGACAGTTGTGTGAGTTAAGTTAGCGGTGTCCTACAAGGATCACTACACTAAAATAAACCTTGATGCCTTTGAGGGGGAAAACATCTATCATCAACTCAGCCGGTATGGATAATGAAAGCACTGGTCCATCTTTTTCTCTGCTTTTGCAAAATAGTGTCTAACAGATATGCAAAGTAATGTATGACTCCGATTGCAAATGGTCACCTTTCCAGAACCTAAGGAGGATCAAAACACCCCGGACAAAGCACATGCTTTTGAAGGAGAGCAGAGATCATTATTACAGCCTGTAATTACTACTGTAACACAAGTATATAATGATGTTAAGAGACATTGTACTTCCTCAATCTTTTAAATGCCAACATTTCCCACATAAAGGAAAGGCAGGCAGCAGGCTACTGTCATTGGGGAGAGGGACTGATGAAAGCCATAATACTGGAGAAGAGTAACTGAGCACGCAGAGACATGGAAAAGAATAAATGAAGTCACAGTGAAACAGCCAGCCAGCCGGGATATTATAAGGACCAGGGTTATGGAAGATTTTACGTAAGTGGAAGAAACATTGGAGTAGGAATAGTATAGCAGAGAGAAACAGCATCGGCCTGCTAGACATCAGTTATAAAAGAACAGCAAAGTCATCGTCAACAGGATTAATACATCAGTGGAACGGATGAGGAGGGCAAAACGGAGCATTCTTACAATGAACAAAGCACTTCTTTATCAGGGAGATGGTCAAGAAGCAGGGCTGCCCAGAGGGGGAGGGCAAGTGGAGCAATTTGCCCCGGGCCCCACAGGGGCCCCCATGAGAGTTTTTCAGGGCCCCTGGAGTGGGGTCCTTCACTCGCTCCGGGGGCCCTGGAAAACTCTCACGGGGCATGGGCCCCCGGAGATTCTTCCGCTCTGGGTCTTCGGCAGCAGTTCGGCGGCAGGGGGTCCTTCCGCTCCGGGACCCGCCGCCGAAGTGCCGGGTCTTCGGTGGCAATGGCCCCCTGCCGCCGAAGACCCCAGGCCCCCTGAATCCTCTGGGCGGCCCTGTCAAGAAGTAAAAAGGAATTCCTGATACCGTCTTTATATATTATTAAAACAGAACTGTGGCCATACTGGGTCAGACTATGGTCCATCTTGCCCAGCACCCTGTCTCAAACAGTGGCCTATACCAGAGCTTCAGGGGGAGCGTACAGAATAGGATGATTACAGAGTGATCCACCCATTTCACTCCTGGCTTCTTAGGGGATGTCTACACTGCGATGTAAGTCCATGCTTGAGCTCGGAATCCAGCCTAACCTCCTCCCCTTCCATCTACACTGCAATTGCACTAAAACAGGGCTCAGACCCAGTGTGAGTCAAGCTGGGAGCCAGGGTCTGAGCCTTATTGCTTTGCAGTGTAGATGCAGCCCTGCTTGATTCGGGTCCTGGGAATCATCTAGAAGTATCCCACAATTCCATGGGACAACTTCTTTAGTGCTTTTTATCCCAACAACCTGCAATTCTATTGAAAAAAGAAACTTGCACACACACACACACACACACACACGGCGGCAGTTCAGGTCCGCATTCACCCCTTCTCGACTGATCACCAATCTGCAAGCACACAACCAGAGAGCCTCCTGGGTTTGCAACGGAGAGCGAAGCAATCAAGCCTTTGCAAAGCGAGCTGCTTCCTTGTCACGGAAGCACTGCCAGATTTTGACAAACCTCTGGGGTGAAGCCCATAAAACTGTGGACTTCAGAATAAGCACCGGAAATGACTAGACGTAACAGCAGATCGTTAAAAAGCTGGCGGTTCTGCAGATTCTCCAGACAGGTGATCAGAGCAGAGAGTGCATTAAGAGGCTGAAGAATGAGTACTGGAAGACCAGGGACAAGAACTGCACATCGGGCAACTTGCCCATTTTATGAGGACTTTGACTGGGTCCCGGGCAGTGCGCCCAGCATGGAGCCAACCTTGGTTCATGGTGACCTGTTACGCCAAGATGATGCCCTGCTGGCCCCTGAATCCAGCATGAAGGCTGACGGGAGCCAGCAGCAGGCTCCCAGTGAACGGCATGAAGTGGCTTTAAATGAAACCAGTCCCAGAGCAGGCTATGGATGAGGCTCAACTGCAAATTCTCAGTCCCTACTTGAACGAACTCCTTGATCCTCTCCCGTGGAACAGCCCACGACAGAGCCTACAGAGAACTTGGTAGAGACAGAAGCTGCCCCAGAGCCTGGGAGGTGTATGACTCAAAGTGTACTATTACAGTAATGGAGGGATTTCTGCTGTAAGAAGCAATGCAAAAATGGTAAGACCCAGCTACCAGCGTTTAGCCACTAATGGCTGACTGTCTCACAGCAGCCAGGCCTCCCCGTCCCACTCTTCCTCCTCCCGACCCACCACATGGAGCTCAAAATGGTGACTTGGAATTTCAAACACTCAAACAGATGTAAAGGTTATTTTAAATGTTGTCTCAGAGGTTTGCTAGGGTCATTTGTGTTTTCCTGCCACTCTGTAATCACTCCTCCTGGGTCTATGCTGTCGCCTGCGAACTGTGTATGAGAGAGTGAGAGAGAGGGAAAAAAACAGTATACTATTTCCAAATCTAGTCCATTTCAGTTCAAGTGTAGTGTCAGTTATTGCTCAGAACTGTGCCAGGTGGAGTAAACAGGCAGATTTCAGCGTGTTTGCGTGCAGCCATAACAGGGTAAGCCATATGTGAGCTAACACAGCATCATGGTAATTCCCTCACGGCTTCTGACCCAATCCTGGCTGCTGATAGCTGCAAACTTTTCCTGAAGCAAGAACTCCAGGTAGTCAGTCACACTGCTGGGAAGAGCATATTTTCCAAGCCCCTCAATATAGCTGACTAGCTCACTCCACTCACAGATGTGCTGTTCAGTAACTACCGGTATTAGTTGGAATACTGCTCATACACTGCAGGTTTTCCTCCAGCAGCTTGGAATAACATCTCCCTTTGCCAATAGAGCACCACAAAAACGGTTCTGTCTTCCAAAACACGAAAGGCCTGAAGTGACAGAAAAAACATTTGCAGAGAGGGCACTGAACACCCCTTCATATGGCAATTAGTTATGAATTTTTTATGAAACAGAATAAAGGTTATAATTTTAACCTTACCATTGTCTCTGCACTTCTGTAACTGCAATTAACCAGGCTGTGTCCAGAGACAGTATGAGGACTGATGCATCCCCTTCGCAATATGTGTTGATTCAGTTTAGGAATGTTACATTTTATGCCCTTGAGATTCCACAATAATTAACTCTGTGCTCCTCCACTGAGCTATTTTAGACAATAACCCTCTGTGTCTTGTCCTATTTCAAGCCCCTCAACCTGCCTACCATTCTTCAGGAACTCCATCCCTGGCCCAATGTACCTTCCCAGAACGTTCCAAAAGGAAGGATTTCTGTGATTAAATTATGGTTGATGCTCTTGAGAGGACAGACCAGCAGGTCCAGTACCAGAAGAGGAGGGATGAAAAATGGGAACAACGGCATGCTGACAGGCAGGAGGAAAGTGGGGCTCAACGCCCAAGTGAAGGACAGGTTTTCAGCAAGGGAGCTGGCGCTTGCAAACATGAACAGTGGCTAAGGGAGGAGGACAGAACTCAACACAGAAAACTGTTTCAGCAACTCATTTCCATAATGGCGGCAAGAGCTCTGGCACCTGCAGCCCCTCTCACATCATGCCAGGATGCCCAAACATACCCTCAGCCCAGCAGTAGCTTGGACTACTCCATGTTGGTGTGGCCCATGCATTCAGGACTCATGAGAGTGGCTGGGCAGGGCAACTAAACCCAATGCAGCCTTCCTTCTTCCAGACCCCCTCCCCTGCTGCTGAGGGGAAATGTAAAGAAGGGAAAAGAGAACTGGGGGCAGGGGACAGATAGCGGTATCGTGTCAGGTCTTAACTATTTCCTGCCTTTTTGGGGGGGTGGGGGGATATGGCAGCTGGCCTGCCCATGAGACTGAGTGGTTTACAGTTTTAAGACGTGTTTACAAATAAAGCATGTTATGTTTTCAAGAAAGTTTATTGCTATCATACAAGCATGCTTTGAGATGATAAAGCTAAAAACATGTTCAGGAGCAATTAAGCATTAGTAAACAAACAGCATTCCTCTATTTAGCTATGTGGAGCAATTCACATTTCAATAAATTTAATCTGTACAGCCTTTGTGCCCCCCCCGCCAACCAAATTCATTATTCATCATGTCATTCAGACTTACAATGCATGGCAATCAAGCCCGTGCCCCTCCCAAGCACTGCCCCCACCCCAAAAAAACAATTAATGAGCCAGTTTTCCCCCACAAGCACATTTGTACAGGTACTATTTGCCTTCCTCCTTTGGGCCGTGTAAGTTCATAACATGAGAACACAAAGCATCCCTGACTTGCTGCCTGGGTGCAGCCAGCTCCTGCAGGGGTAGCTGTACTTTCTGGCTGAGGGTACCAATCTAGGGTACCCTCCCTGTCATAGGTCCATTCAGGGGGCAATGGCTCACCTCTGACTTCACATGGTTGTGACGCGCACAGCAAGCCACAGTGATGTGAACAGCACTGATGACACCGGCATCCAAATGGGTCTGTAGACATCTCCAACGGGATTTTCATCTGATAAAAGTACATTCACCAGCCATTCTACACATGCTGTGAGTGTAATTAAACCCTCCTTTGCCAGGGCCTCTGCAATCTGGGTATGTTTTCATAAGCCAAGGCAAAAAGGGGTACGTGGGATCCTCCTCAATAACAGTGGGGACAGTATCACTGTTTATGTTAATGTCATTTGGTGGGAACAGTTTCCCTGCCTATCCATGAATGTATACTCCCGAGTGGTAAAAAACCCTGGCATCATGGACTTTTCCTGTGCAGACCACACTGACCTCCATAAATCTGCCTCTGCAGTCCACTAGTGCCTGCATAACAATGGGGTAGTAGCCTTTGCAGTTTACGTACTTAGGTACTCCTTGAGGAGGGCAAGCTACCGGCACATGAGTCCCATCAACAGCCTGGGGCAATTAGGAAACCCCATTCTCTTAAAGCCAGCAATTAGCTCTGGAATAGCTTTAATGCCCGCCACCTCAGAGTAAACCACACGCCTCATTGCCTCAGAAACCTCAGCCTCCACTCTACTCTCTGCCAACTTTCCAACCCCAAGCTGGCTGGCCACGGATCCGGAGCAGTCTGGGGTAGCCAGCTTCCAGACGGTTATAGCAACGCACTTCGGAACTGGCAAGGGCGATGTATCTCTCTTTACACTAGAGGTGGGGGCAAGCTGCGCACAAAACACCAGAAATGTGGCTTTCTTCACATGAAAGGTCTGGACCCACTGCTGGTCATCCCAGGTCTGCAAGATGATGTGGTCCCACCAGACGGTGCTTGTGAGCCTGCACCAGAAGCGGCCATCTACACAGGGGGCATTAGCAGCTTTGCCAGGGAGAGTCTGCGATGCCAGGGTACTCCTCCTCCTACTGCTGCTCCATCAGGAAATCCATCAGGTACCTTTGGTGGGACAGAAACCACCACCGAAGGGTCCACTGGCACCTTATGGTTGCTCTGCCAGTTTCCTGACACAAGAGTGAAAGCGTAAGCAAGAGAAGTTCTATGAAAAGGCACCTCCTCTATGTTGTTGGCTCTGGTAGTTGGGAGAGCACAGAGCAAAATGAGCAGGCTGTGTTGGCGGCTGTTCAAACTTCCTGAAATGTGCAGGGCAGGCAGTAAAGTTTTCCCACAGCGCACCACAGCCCTACGGCTAGACTGAGGGTGAGGGGGTGCTAGGGACTCTGGGATATGGTTATTTTGACTGGAGTCTGCACACTGCAGTGTGGTTGCCAGAGCCCCAGAGGTCTATGGTAAGAAAAGCCTTAAAATAGGGTTTAATTACAATGTATATGCTCACGCCCAGGGTTCCCCCACAACATGGGTCAACAGACTCAAGTCCCACTAACCCTGAGCTTACATTGCAGTGTAGACATACCCTTAGAGAGACAAGGTGGGCGAGGCAATATCTTTTATTGGACCAACTTCTTTTTGGAGAGAGAGACAAGCGTACACAGAGCTCTTTCTGTCTGGAAAACATACTCTTGGTCACAGCTAAATAGAAGGTGGAACAGATTATTAAACATAAATAGTTAACACATTTCTAAGGATCATTCAAGATGAAGTGGCCAGTTAACAATTCTCTCATCATAGGGGAGAAAGGAACGGGGGGCGGGGGTGGGAGCAGCTGGTGGGGAAGAGGAGTTGTTAGTGGGTTATAGATGGCTGTAATAAGCCATATATCCAGTATCTCTATTCAGTCCATACTTTTTAGTGTCTAGCAAAGTTATGAATTTAAGTTCCCAGAATCATCTTTCGAAGGTGTTGTGCAGATTTCCTCTAAGAATGATGACTGAGAGGTCAGATAGAGAGAGTGATCACTTTGTGAAATGTTCATCTACAGGTGATAGGCTGTTTTTGTCTTATTTTCTTGTGTGAGGTACAACATATTTGTCATAGACATGTGTAGGACCCATGGATCTTGAAAGGTGTGTTGATCATCATAGCAACAGAGATGTTTCTACAGGTTTTGCATCTGATGTTCTGGCAGGATCTGGTGCTGCTTTGAGATGGTGTCCCCCGGTCTGTGGGGAGCAAGCTCATCATTAGAAGCAAGGAGAGGGTTGGTGGCTTCTGGCGGTTAGAGGTTTAGGGTCGCCCCAAGCCTGGGGTTGCAACCCTGACCATCCTGTCTAATAGATGGATGCAGGGGCATTGGAAACATTTTTATGGTGGGCGTGCTGAAAGTGGAAACCATGTCCCTGCACCTCTCGTTCCAGCACCCCTGGATGTACATGGAGGGCAAAACTGTACATTCACATGAACAAGGCATTTCTTTACAAGGGAGATTGTGCAAAAACAACTGGAATTCCAGCTATTATCTTTATATATTATGAGACTTCAATTAAATCTTATGGATAGTGGATGGGAAGGAAAAGCTGTGAAATACCATGACATCATCGCAGACAGTGAATATATTGAAAGAGCAGTATCTTGTGACTAAGGCCTTCTTAAAACTTCTAGAAGAGACACCAGCTGAGTAAATCAAAGGTCCTTATGCTGTCTGCCTCAAGGATGCTATCTGTCCCTGGTCTTAAATATGGTACAATATGCTAAGGAAGGAGTAAGAGCGATGATTTTGAAGGAAATCTTATAGCGAGTTAGGGATACTCAACATGTGTCATCCGAATAATACTATATAAATGGAGTGAGACAGGGCTGCACAAAAAACAGAAGAACTTATGAATAGGAACAAAAACTATTGCCTAAACTATTCTTCATTTGATTTACTATCCCAACGCAGAGATGGCTATAGGGTTACAGGAAATGGAGAACTCACATGATCAAATTAAAGCAGCAAAGGTTAAACATCAAATTTAACAGAGTGAGGACAAAGGCTTCACATGAGGCTCTGTAGGTGGGGAGAATAGCAAAGAATGCTCCCACCTTTCCCAATCCCCAGAAGTCTTGGTCCTGCCAAGGAGAAAACAGAGAATAGAAAATACACACACACACACACCTAGACCCCCCACTGCACCCAGATTGTCCCACACAGAATCTTCTCACCCCACACCTGGATCACCCGACACTGAGCCCCTCCACACTTGGATCCTGCCTGGTTGAACCTGCCTGCCCCACACCTGGTGTGCCTGGCACTGTTTTTGGGACAGGCCCAGGCCTTGTGCTGTGTCAGGGTCAGGTGCAACCTCACCGCTGAGTTCATGTCCTGGGGGCATCTCCCACCTTCGTGCAGCCAGCGGCCTGTGATCCCCACTGCCATGCTGGAGCCTCTGCATTTATTTATTGACAAATGAAACTTGCAGAATTTTAAAATACTGTTTGCAGAATTTTTTATTTTTTAGGTGCAGAATGCCCTCATGAGTATACTATTATTTGTATTACAATAGCGTCTACAGGCCCCAAACCCTACCAAGGCCTCATTACACTAGGAGGTTAGATGAATAAAGTCAGAGACAATCCTTGTCCTGAAGAGCTAAACAGATAAGACAAAAGGTAGGAGAATGAAGGTATTATCATCTCCATTTTACACACAGTTAATGAAGGCACAGAGGAATTTGGCGATTTACCCAAGACCACACAAGAAACCTGTACAGAGCCAGGGACTGAAGTTCTGGTCCAGGGTCTTAATGAGAAAACCACCTCTGCTCTCTTTTGCTTGTGAAATATATTCCGTTAGAAGAAGGTATCAATGTCATCATTAGTTTGTTGCACTATCAAAGAGAGAGTGCACCAACTCTTTGGTTTGAAGAAATCTCACCCCATTCTCCAGCCACTTGAGGCTGCTTTAAAATTAGAAATATTAGCATGACCACACCAAGACTTTGACACTAACTAGGCTTTCAAAATAACAACATACCAAAATAGTAGCAGGGTCAGCGGGTTTGGTTAGCAAGGAAGGTTGTTTATGTTTAGTCAGTGCAATATTTGAAGACTCAAATTTGAGGTAAGTTTACTGCTGAACTTAAAGGCTCTGAAACTTGAAAGCAGTAAGTTGTGCCAGAAAGTCTGTGGTGTGGGATGGACATTCCTTCCAAACCTCAAGAGGACAACCACGAAATAGGCATTTAAACATTAGGCATGTTTATTGGCAAAGGATAGAGTATTTAATCCTAGTTCTCGCTCCAACTTTAACATTTGCTCTGACCCAATAGAAACAAATTAGCTTTGTAAGAACAAGGGAATTCCATTCTAACCCATACAGATGCAATCAGCCTCACAAAGACAAGCCTGAAATCAGATGGTGATAAACAGGAGGAGTTAATTATGTATATTAAAAAAGGATCAGATGAAAGAGATGCATAAGGCTGCAGATGTTTATATAGCAAGAAAATAGGAAGCACACACAATGCTGCTGTAATTGCTGTTTACACGGACATCTTTCTCAGCTGCTGCTTCGCTTTTCAAATGCCAGAATGCTTCCAAGTTAGTGGCTTATTTTGATGTGCAGAGCGTGCTAAGGGAAAAGGGCTGGCGCATGATCTTTAAACCACAGACAAATATTTGACAACTCATTCTGACAGACCTACCCCCTTTAGGGGCCCCACCACTGCACTGACCCCCTTCCAGCTTCCCAGAGCTGGACAGCTGCTCCATCAAAAACCACTCCTGGGACAACCACAAGATTGCCCAAGAGTAATGCACCGCATTCCCAGACCAAGAGCTGGACTCTGCTCCCAGATACACCACCACCACTGAATTGATGAGCTGGCAGAAATCGCACACTATATCTGTAGTGCTACAGCAACTTCTACGGCCACAGAAACAACAGTGTAGCACAGGATTGTGTGTAGGCAACACTTTTTCAGTAGTAAATATAGGCTTGTGGAGAGTTCGGGCCTGAAGAATCTATTCTTAGAGCATCTGCATAAGCCATTCTGAACACCAGGCTGGCCCCGCAAACTTTCCTATATATTGTCATATGTTATTCATAGCTCAACTGATCCCAGCTGCTTAAATCTTCACTATTATTGACATTAATACTTAACTCTAGTTGGCCCAAGTGAAGTTTAAAAATCTAACTATTTTGAATGGTCATGTCTACACAATACATGGTTTATTGATAAAACCATAGGAAGAGACAGGAAAGCCAAACATCACCAGTATGGGCAAGCACAGAGGGGCAACACCAGCACAAATGCATTACTGAGATTGTCACTCACCCAATTCACTGTTGTCATCCACCAAGATAATTTCATGAAGAAGATATGCTGGAGTGCGATCCAGTACACTATGTACTGTCCGAAGCAAAGCAGAAAATGCTTCGTTATAGAAACAGATGATAATGCTGGCAAATGGTAAATCAGAAGGGTAGGACTTTTCTCTGCACCTACAAACAAAAGACACACACATGTTCAATGTACAAGACTGCACCTCCTAACAAAGCTCCATAAACAGCAACACTAATATTGAATGAGAAATTGTTCTCTCACATTTCAGTGTTACATTCAGGGCATGTCTACGCTATAAACTTAAGCTAACCTATGTTAGGACAACTTACAGCCATGACTGTAATTACAGCAGTGTTCATGTCCACGCGGCCCTCCTCCTGTCGGTGGTGCACATCCTCACCGGGAGCACTTACACCGACTTAAGAGGTGCAGTGTGGAGGGGGGGGCTGAAAGCCAGGGCTCTCAGCTCCATGCGCAGCTCCCCATCAGCTTCTCGGCTCCCCAGCTGCCCCCGCCCCCCTTGATGTCTTGGCTCCGCACCAGGCTCCAGGTGCGGCGCTCCCCACACTGGGCACAGCCATGCTCCCAATGGGGAGCAGGGAGCCAAGAGCCTGGGGGAGGGTAGCCAGACTCCTGGCGGGGAGATCCGTGCCCAGAGTCTGGTTGGCTGCTGTGCTCCCAGTGGGGAGCCAAGAGCCCGGGCGGCAGCCCAGATCAGAGTGGGGAGCCAGGAGTCTGGGCAACAGCCGGGCTAGGAGCAGGGAGCCAGGAGGGCAGCAGGGCTCCCCGTGGGGAGCGGGGAGCCCAGGCAGCAGCCTGAGCCGGAAGCCTGGGTGGCAGCGCTGCTTAGAGCGGAGACAGGCTGGCGAGTTGGGAGCCAGGAGCTGTGAAATTGACAAGAATGACAGTCAACAGATGTAAGTAACCTAGCATCTACACAGACACTGCACTGCCCTAACTACACTGACATAAGCCCTATGCCTCTCATGGACGTGGAGTTATGTCAGTGCAGTAGGGTGCTTACATCGGCGGGAGCCAGGCTGTAGTGTGTACACTGACGTAGTTAGGTGCATAACGTAAGCTGTCTTACGTCAACCTAACTCCGTAGTATAGACCAGGCCTAAGACATGTTCATTAACATAATACTTACATTAGGGCTCAACCAAGTATAGAGTAGCCTCATACCTACAGTTCACACAATTCAGCCCCACATAAATAGGGTTTATTGCTGCATGTTACAAAATGTAATACCTGTATGCCCTTAAGGGCATACAATGCTATAGGGTCGGATTCCTAGCAAATAGTAGTTAGAGCAGGCACTGAAAGTCTTCCAGCAAAAATAAGAGGACTTTTATCTGCCTATTTCAATTTCTCTCCCCGATATCTACAAATCTGATATGATAAAGGGTAAATTGTCAATACTGGCATTTGAGAGGGGATCAAGTGATAGCAAAAACTGCAGGACCTAAAATGCAACTCTGGTTGCGCCAAAAAGCCTGTTCACTTGAATTCAAGTGGATTCAGCTCTGGGAGGGATTTGCGCTTTTGTGCAACAACTATGGCCCATTACATTTACACACAATTGAGCAACCACAACAAAAACGAAAGTTACACCATGATTTGGCGGGGGGGGAGAGAGAAGAGCACATGCACGCTTGGGGGCATTCAGATGGTTGCTTTACTCCATCTAAGTGTAATAGAGCATAGAAAATTTGTGCGTTCGAACAGAAAGTCACTAGATAGACAGCACTATTTTCCCCGACATCAAGAAAGGGCCCTATTTAAGACAGCTTTTCTCACCTTCCCAACCTCTATAAGCATGCAGCAATGTGGCTTAGTATATAAAGATAGTACTCTGCCATTCTTAGGCTCCATCAAGTCTTCAAACACTCATTGACTTGAATGTTTAAACTTTAAGGGTCTGATTTTTGAGGTGCGGAACACAACAATTTATAACACCTTCAGTGGGAGTTGGGATGCTCTGTGTGTCTGGAAAAAAAAAATCAAGCTACAAACATTGTTCTAGAATACTTAGACTCATAAGGTCTATAACTAGGGAGATGGAGGAGGCATGTAGGTCATCTAGCCCTGCCTGGAATCAGTGCAAGATAGCTTTCAGAAATACACTGTAGGAGAGCATTCTCCCCACTCCCAACCTATATTTCAATTACTATTTGCTACCTCTTGGATCTAATAAAATAGCTTTCTGTGAATCCTAGTGCTCATGAAATTATATCAGTAAGTTTACACCCAAATTAGGTTTTTAATTAAACACATTTAAGTCAAATTAAAAACCTTAACAACATTGTACTGGTGCATGAGACACAAAATGTGAAACTGAATATTAAAAAAAGTGAGATTAGCAGTCAGTTACACTCACCACACTGCTTACCTTTTTGCTATTCACTCCAACAGAATAAATGGAAAAATAGATTAGATTGTAAAAATGCTTTCATTTGTAAAGACCCTAGTATGTAATTAATAATACAGGTACAGAATTTGGGGTTTTTTCCACATAATATCATCCCTTTAAAATTAACAGTTCAGAGTACACCTGCACAGAATACATGTATGCATTATGCAAACTTCTCTATGGCTCAACGTATCTCTGTCCTCATGTGAAATACCCCTGATAGTCCATTAATGGAGATCTCTTGAGCGCACTCTGATCACTACATGGAATCAATCTCACCGTTAGTTGGTTATTTGTCCATTACATAGAACTAACACAGAGAGGTTTTGTGTTATATCAATTAGGGATCATCTAACCCAGGGGTAGGCAACCTATGGCACGCATGCCGAAGGCAGCACGCGAGCTGATTTTCAGTGGCACTCACACTGCCCGGGTCCTGGCCACCGGTCCGGGGGGCTCTGCATTTTAATTTAATTTTAAATAATGCTTCTTAAACATTTTAAAAACCTTATTTACTTTACATACAATGATAGTTTAGTTCTATATTATAGACTTATAGAAAGAGACCTTCTAAAGACATTAAAATGTATTACTGGCATGCAAAACATTAAATTAGAGTGAATAAATGAAGACTCGGCACACCACTTCTGAAAGGTTGCCGACCCCTGATCTATCCCATTCCACTACCATATATTTGAAGTTAGGTCTCTGGGGTGACCACCAGATGGCTTCTCATATTTAAATTGAGCAGGATACTTTCTAACCTATTAGCTTCTCCATCTAACATCTGACTGAGGAAATAATTTCTACTTTAACTCTCTGATCCATTCAGCTGAGTGTCATTAGCTTATAAAGATTCTACTGTTTATGTATTTCTTTAAAGACATATTGTATTTTAAAATCCAAATTCAAAGAGACTTCTGTGTGGTAGAGTTAGTAGATATATGGTTTGTGTAGGCGATCTTAAAATTACATACACACATTCTGTCTTAAGGTAGCGTTAGTCTGACTTTCTCATGTGACATGCTCAGTAGAGATTTTCCAATTATGTACAATTATTATCCCATTCCCGTTTGCTTCTTGAGATCCAATTCTGAACAGTATTCAGTAAAGCAAGCCCTCCGAATTAAAAGAATAACCTCAAGCCATCTGGCTGCAAGTATTAAAGGAATGGAAATCTGCCTTCAGTGGTAACTGATATGCTGAAAGCAAAATGTAACAGATGTGTAACGGCCAAATGTTTAATTCCAGTCTCATTATTTAGTATACTGGGCCCTTGAAAACAACATTATATTTATAGAGAAAAATGGTATAAAGGACATACTTGGCATCCCTTGTATCTGGCACCTCTCTGTGGTATCCCAACCGGTTGCTGATAAGCATATTGAAGGCATGCTTCTGATAGCCCAAGTCTCTCACCTGCTGATCGTGTTCGTTAAAAATCATGCCTATAATAGAAACATATCAAAATTCATTGGGTCAAAAACATCCTCTGGCAATGATCAAGTACTGAAATGGAGTGTTTAACTCATGCATAGTTTTCACAATCTGCCTTTACAAATCATATTTTAACCTGTTTTCAAAGCACATTTCTGTATGAATACTTCAATTTCTACCCCAATAAGAAGTTAAGTCTATGAACATTATAGGTGTAATAAAAATAGACTGTATGTGAATGGAGCATAACATCCCACAAAGAGTGATGGCCCCATTGTGCTTATTTCCTATTCCCCACACATTCCTTCCCCCTAAAAACCTCACTCTTAACTCAGTATAAAACACCCAACCAATCAGCCAGATCTAGCCCACTTGATGCATAATCTGGTACCCATGGCAGATTAAGCTTCTACAAAGTGTATGCTTCTATTTAAATACATCAAGTTTCTAGCCCTTGTGGTGTTAGAAAATCCAACCAATCATGGCCCTACTGCAGTGCAGTTTCACAAGACATCAGCGAGACAAACAATAGCTATCAAAGAAGCCTGATCTACCATCATTCATCTCACCTGAAATGTTGAGACTCAAGCCTCGGAACGACAACTTCAATAGCAACAGAGTTTACTATTTCTTCGCTGATTGTTTTAGCATCAATTCTCACTGAGTGCAGTGGCAGGGTAGAGGCAGCCATCCAGTTTCAAAAAGCATGCTAGTGTAAGCGGCAAAATCCTGCAATGTCACTCTTTCTGTCCCTGACTCTGTGCTTGGGGCCAAAAACAAGATAAACTCTACTATTCTAGGGTTCCAAACTTCACTGAGTTCTGTTGTTCTCATTGAGACATTTCACTCAACTCTTGGTACAAGCTTTGAAGTACTGGAACAAATGGCTTCATTTATTTTTTCCCTTATTCGCAGAGGTGAAAGTAAGCCGGTACGGTGTACCGGCAAGAGCCAGTACGCCGTGCCGGACTGCACCGGCTTCCACAGCGGGGATTTAAAGGGCCCGGTGCTCCGGCCACTGTGGGGAGCCCCGAGCCCTTTAAATCCCCCCCGCAGCTCTGCAGGAGCTCCGGGCCCTTTAAATCCCGGCCCCAGCCCAGCTGCCAGAGCTGCGGCGGGGATTTAAAGGGCCTGGAGCTCCGCGGCGGCCCGAGCCCCGGGCCCTTTAATTTGCCTCTGAGCCCCGGGGGCTCCCAGCCACCTCTGCAGTTGGGAGCCCCGAGGTGATTTAAAGGCCCTGGGGCTCCCAGCCACAGCCAGTGCCCCAGGGCCTTTAAATCTTGAGAGGCCCCGCCTCTTCCGGGTGAGGCCACGCCCTCGCTCAGGACTCCGGCCGTACCGGTAAGTCCTGTAAGTTACTTTCAACCCTGCTTATTCAACAGGTCAAGGGTCTGACAAACCAATAAGCAAGGAAACCCTAAATTCATCTTCTGCAACACACCCAAGAGATTACCTTGCTTTGGAGAGCTATGCAAAAACCAGGTGACCTAGGGCAATGACAGCCTCAGCGTGTCCAGGGAGGTGGCAAGATCAGAAAGAAAAGGGGCAAAATAGAAGGAGAAATGCAAGCTGTAGAAATGTTTTTGGAAGGGGAAGGACAGCAAGATCTCCCTATTTCCCTTCATAGCACAGATGTAACATGAAGGACTGTGAAATGGTACCAGGATTTACACCAAGGGACATGTAACAGTGATTCTACAGAGGGAGCATACCAATGTGACTGCCATACGCATTGTCTGCACTGGGATTTTTAGCCTCAAGTGCAGCAATCCTAATGTAGCAGCAGTGGCTCACACCCCTATAGAAGAGGTTTGAAACCATGGGAAGCTACATCAGTGGAAGTCACAATTTACACCAAAGCAATCTGTCTCCATGGGGTTTGCAATGACTGGGGGTTTTATCCACCAGGTTAACTGCAATGTGACAAGCCATTAGTCACAGAGGTTAGACATGTGACTATTAATAGTGTCACTTTCCCTTCCTTGTCCAGCAGTAGCCACAAAAGCAGTGGCACAAACCCTTCCTTGGAGTTGCACATCTGACCTTAGCAATGCTTTTGTCTGTCCAGAGCAGGGGTGGGCAACCTGCGGCCCGTGGGCCGCACACAGCCCATCAGGGTAATCCGCTGGCGGGCCGCGAGACCGTTTGTTTATATTGACCTCCACAGGCACAGCCGCCCGCAGCTTCCCACCATGGTTCAGAGGCTCTAAGCTCAGTCATACTTGCATCCTCTGGATTACAGCAAGCACTACTGCCATTGAGCCTGCTCAATTCACCCGCTTTAAGGACCACATGCTTGAAAACTTCATGCCGAATTGCACTGGTTTTTGTTCTACAGGCTGCCCTCACACAAGTGTCTACACTTTTTTTTCCCCCTCTCTAAACACAGTCAAACTCAAATATTATTGAAGCTGGTTTTGAAAAGAGCTGCTTGCAGGCTAACAACGTGTGTGCAAAGTGCCTGACAAATTCCAGTCCAAACAACAGCTCTCAGCCCTTGGAAAATAAGGTTTGCAATGGAAACATCAACAAACCCTTTACTATAGCAGTGTTATGTGTGTGTCAGAAACTTATAAGAAAAAAAATACAGATTACCCTACCAGATGGCATTTTGTTTTCATCTGTAATATGCCAAACTTTTTTTTAACTTTACAGCCTAGCATATTTATCACTTCTCCAGACTGGACAGACAGGAAACCCTTCCCTATAACATTAGGTCTAATTCTAACACAGGCCCAGCTGTCTCCCAAATTTTCATATAGGACTTGTCCTGCAATAGAATACATTTGGCTTTCACTAGTCCAGCTAGTCTCTGGGTTTCAAGATCAAAGAGATTTTCTGTTGCAACTCTCCAAGTCATTTCCTGGCAAGCAGTGAATACTTGGAAAGAGATGGTCACCTCTGGAATATGCAGTAATTAGCAGCTGTTGATATTACAGCAAACTGATAAGAATTTGCCCTGTGGCATCACAAGTTGGCAGTTAAATTTTGGAAGGCATTTCACCTTCTATCGATCACATAAGCCTATGAGCAAGTCTGCAGTTACATTTTGTAAGCTTTTTCTTAAACTCCATAAAACTCTAGAACAGCTGACGCTGTATTGAAATTTTACTGAAGAAGAATGTAGGGAGCGTTAGCGAGCACTGCCAGTATTAAATTCAGGGCTAGACAAAAAATATATTCTGTATTATACTTCCAACGGAAATAGCTAAGACACCAGTAGAGTGACTTGCGCTACCTTCTTCCAGTTCAATGGCCAGTTTACAGTTCAAAATGCCACTCTTCTAAGTAGTCCCAGTGAAGTCAACAGACCTATTGCCTGAATAAACCCAGCAAGATTTGACCGTCAGATGAATAAACCCAGCATCTTACCTTTTCCAGTCTTGTTTGTAGATCATTTTATACTTCTATGATACAAGGATAGCAAACATAGGCCTCATACTATCGCCAAGCAAACTACTTTTTAAATCTTTTATACTAAAAAAGATGGATTGAGTTTCTCTGCAGCCTCTAAAATTTCACACATATTTTATCCCAATCCCCCTCAAAGTAAATTACCAACATGAGACACACAAATGCTACCAGTGGCAAGGTGGTATATCAAAGTTTGTAGCCTGGATGTTAAAATTCAGAAGTTTTCTGCTTTAGCATTTTATGTGCCAAAGTTGAAAATATTTCAGAATAAAGGCTAGACTGCTACATTTTGGATGAAACAAATACATATTGTAAAAGAATAAACTTTACGTCTACTTTGAAACCAAGAGAAACACCAGGATAAACATTTTCATAAATAAATATTCTCTTTGAGTATAAAAATTTTCCTTAGACACATTTAAAGTCTTATGGTCTCACTTTTACTGATTTAACTAAGATGTGTTTGTGTGTGCGTGTATATCATTCATAATGAAGATGACCAAGCCCACTTACCCATTTCAGGGGAGAGCTCCATGTCTTCCTTCACTGGGTCCTGTGCATGATTTCCAAATGAATTCCCTATACTGCTGTCTTTCCGTTGTGGTTGAGGTACGCGAACTGGACCCCGAGTGAAACGGGGATAGAATTTTTTAGGAAGTGGCTTTTGAGGTTCCAACCCCTTGACGGGCACATTCTTGAAAGATTGGGTCTCTTCGCTGAAGTTGAAATAAACAAACAGCAGAAGTGTCCAGGTCACAGATGTGAAAAGGCACCCATAGCAGAAATAGCGAAGCGTGACACTTCCCATTGTAGACCTAGCATTGTTGATGGCCCATTCTCAATTCCCTGAAAGAGAATAAAAGAAACACATAATTGAGGCCTCCATCTGTTAAGACTCTTCTGCAGACTTAGAGAAGAACAGGAGTACTTGTGGCACCTTAGAGACTAACAAATTTATTAGAACATAAGCTTTCGTGGACTACAGCCCACTTCTTCGGATGCATATAGAATGGAACATATATTGAGGAGATATATATACACACATACAGAGTACATGAGTAACCAAATTCTAAATGCCAACTTTTCACAAAATGCTATTTTAAACCTATGCTCTATATTTTAATTTTATGTTTAAGCATTACATCTTTTTCCTCTCCCACCCAAATATCAACATACTTAGGGCATCAGACTGCTTAGGACTGTAAATCTTCAGATACAAGGCTAAAGACCCAGATAGTCTTGGGTGAAATATTAACAGCATTTTCTTTCAAGTTGTGGGACAGTTTACTGATGTCCACAAAACAGAAGTCCCAAAGTGTTTGTATTACTCTTATTACTTATAACAACACATAATACTCCGTTTTCCAAAGAGACAAGGAAGAGAGACATGTAGGCTAGGGAAAGGATAAGAAAAGAAAAACACACACATGAAAACTTGAGCAAGGAGTGGGGTGACAGATCCAGAGGGAGTGGAGGAGTAACTTTTAAGGAAGTATCTCAGAAATGACTCCACGATCATAGAATATTAGGGTTGGAAGAGACTTCACGAGGTCACCTAGTCCAACCCCCTGCTCAAAGCAGGACCAACACCAACTAAATCATCCCAGCCAGGGCTTTGTCAAGCCGGGCCTTAAAAACCTCCAAGGATGGAGATTCCACCACCGCCCTACGTAACCCATTCCAGTGCTTCACCACCCTCCTAGTGAAATAGTGTTTCCTAATATCCAACCTAGACCTCCCACACTGCAAGTTGAGACCATTACTCCTTGTTCTGTAATCTGGTACCACTGAGAACAGTCTAGCTCCATCCTCTTTGGAACCCCCCTTCAGGTAATTGAAGACTACTATCAAATCGCCCCCCTCACTTCTCTTCTTCAGACTAAACAAGCCCAGTTCTCTCAGCCTCTCCCCGTAAGTCATGTGCCCCAGCCCCCTGATCATTTTTGTTACCCTCCGCTGGACTCTCTCCAATTTGTCCACATCCTTTCTGTAGTGGGAGGCCCCAAACTGGACGCAGTACTCCAGATGTGGCCTCACGAATGCCGAATAGGGGGGAATAATCATTTCCCTCGATCTGCTGGCAGTGCTCCTTCTAATGCAGCCCAATATGCCGTTAGTCTTCTTGGCAACAAGGGCACACTGCTGACTCATATCCAGCTTCTCATCCACTGTAATCCCCAAGTCTTTTTCTGCAGAACTGCTGCTTAGCCAGTCGGCCCCCAGCCTGTAGCAGTGCATGGAATTCTGCTGTCCTAAGTGCAGGGTTTTAAAGTGTCCATGGGTTTTAACGAAGTAAGATTTGTCAAAGTATCAGAAATCACCAACAAAACTCTTCAGCTGAATCTGGCAAAGAACAAATCAGAACAAGAGATCGCATCTACAACCTCTTCCAAATGCTTTATGAATACGGATTATCCCTTACAACATCTCTGTGAGGTAGGTAGAAATTATTCCCTTGTTACAGGTGGGAAACTAACAGAGATTAAGCCTATGATCATGCTCCCACTGAATCTTATAGCACAATCCCACTGACTTCAAAAATGTAATATTGGGCTCCAAGTGACTTGGCTAAGATCACAAAGCATCACTGTTAATCAAACTCTGGCATTCCCAGGTCAGACTATGCCACTCCTTCATTTGTTAAAGTTCTTCTAACAAAAAATATTTACCTGCTATTCTTACTAGGTGAAATCCATCCCTGTGCAAAGTGCCAGACTATGCAGCACTTAAGCCCAATGGCTTAAGTGGGATTATATGGAGCCTAAGTCTTGTGCTGGCCCTCTGCATACAGGTGTAATGCACACACTGTCAATCAGGATGCTGCTGCTGCTGAGTTGTTACTTTAGAGCCATGAAAGTAGCCAGACACTAAACAAAAGCTAGGGATTTCTGAATCATTTCTTCACCCAATCTAGCTGGCTCAGTACTTAGCTACACCATGGCTTCAAAGCATCTGCCTCAAGTCTCCCACTCTCTGTGCTAATGGAGGTCAAGGATGTTGCCAAGGTGAATCTAGACTCAGAAAAGCAAGGGAGGTTGCCAAGGAGCAAAAAGATTAGATGCACAGCTACAGCCTCTCACCACAACAGGGTTTCTTGCTGACTGATCTGTAGACTGTTCAAAGCTCATCCCCACGACAGGAAGATCTGTGCACTAGCCAGTTTTTCTGCACGGGGGCAGTGGAATGAGGTATGTTTTAAGACTTTATCTAGCCTAAAAAGCTGCTCTCTAGCAAACGTTACAGTTGTCTCCCCACTGGCAACAAAAAGGCACCATTCTAACACAGCCCCACCACATGCACGCAAAACACTGGCTGCGAACTGATCTAGTTATTTTTTGCAGCACAGATATGCCCTTTCTGACCATTGCAGAGAAGACCAGCAATCACTCTGTTCTAACAGAGAATGGGCATTTTCTTTCACAGACATCTAAGAGGAATCAGGGCTTCCATTAGGAGGAAAGGAAATAAGTTAGTGCCAGAGTGAAGAGAACCTCAGGGCCCCCCAGCTGGAAAGCCTTTGTCCAGAGGCTAGCACGGTGAGAGACAGCAGGCCTGCCAGGTACTATATCACATGAATACAAATTTAATATGCAATATTCCACCTGTTCCTTGTTGAGATGTAGTTGTCCCTCTCCCTCTGAATCCCACTGGTTTATGCCACGTTGTACACAACATACGAAGGATGAAATAGCATTTAAAACAAATCATGGACTCACTAAGATCCAGAAGAGCAGATCCTTTCAATAACTTGCTATTTAACCAAAACATTCAGTGACACCTTTGGCAGAAAGTGTAGAAGAACTATTTATTTTCTTTACGTTTCCATTTCTGTGGCAACATTTTGTTTGGGATCTGGGGAGGGGGTTACCCTGTCTTTACAAACAACACACAACTATAAAAGCTCATCAGGCTTATTAATGAATCTTAATTGCAAGCAGAGCATCTTGAGCTGGAACACTGAGGTCTTGTCTAGTCTTGGGATTTCAACCATCAGTCAGCTGGGATAGCTGCACGTGTGCAAATTAAACGAACAGCTAGAAAAGCTACAGTGCGGCTTACCCAGGTTTCAAGCAAGAGAAGGCTCCTTGGGTGCACACTCCCAGAGAGAAGTGAGGTCTGTGACTACTGAAAGGAGGCACTAGGTTGGGACTCCTGGCCAAAACCTGTCCCACTCAATTTCCTCTCCTCCCCCTCCATCCTCTTTAATTGTAGTCTGATGGAGTGTATACTCCATCCCAGCTCTGAAAGGATTAATGTGGGCCCGAGAGGCTCACTAACCCACTGGTTGTACCTGGAAGGTGGGCCATTCCTAATTAAAGACTAAACCCAGCTGGGACAGAACTGGGTGGTGCCATAAAGGCAAGAAGCCTGGAGCAGAAGATGGTTACAGGGAGAGAAAGAAGAACTTTATAACTACTCTCTTAACAGAGAAACAGGAAGGAGCAGGAATGGACGCACAGAGGGTTGTGATGGAACTGGCCAGAGCTGGGATCCCTTGCTGGGCAGATGGCTTGTATGGGGCCCTGAGGTAAAGGGGAAGAACCAGCTCACCCAGGGAGCATTCCTGAAGGAGCAGGGTAGGACTTGCAGAAGGACCTGGGGATTAGAACAGTGGAAGGAGTCTGCTTGTAGGAGCCCTGACATAAAGGCTGCAGTGGATTAGTAACACAGCCAAGGGCAGGAACCAGACCTCCAGTGAGAAGCCTTGGGAGGCATTGCTCATTACAAGAGCCCAGAAACAGGCTATGGAGAAGGCCTGACAAAAAGAGTAATGACAGGAAGAAGTCTAGGCAGGCAGCAGCAAGGAGTCTAATGGGCACACTTTGCCTGCTCATTACAGGGTCTCCAGACTGGAATCCAGAGGGGAAGGAGGGCCTGAGTTCCCCTACCAGCCACTGGAGGAAGTGGTATGAAAACGCCCTGATATAAGCAGATATGGATTTTTGAAAGGCTTTAGGCAGAGAGAGTAAGGACCATGAGGCCCAGAGTCAGGGGCCAAAAACTGATGATAGATTGTTGGACTTCTCATGTCTTAGACTTTGTTTCTCTGAAAGGAGTGGAAATATAGCATGACCTGTCTTGAGAAGAAAGAAGAAGCAGACCAGCATAAGACCAGAGTGATTAACCACTGGAACATTTTACCAAGGGTCATAGTTAAGGCTACATTTTAGTCACAAGTATTTTTAGTAAATGTCATGGTCAGGTCATGTGCCATAAACAAAAATTCATGGGCCTGTGAATGCCATGACTAAAACTTGGGCAGGGGTGCTCGGGGTGGGGGGGAGGGTCCAGGGGCACTGCGGGTGCTGGGAGTGGGGATCGAGATGACCCGGGCCCCCCACTGGTGCTGGAGGAGAGGGGAGCTGGGCTGAAGCCCGGGCCCCCCACTGGTGCTGGGGAAGTGGGGGCCGCGCTGCAGCGGTGCTGGGGGAAAAGGGGGGCCGGGCCACAGCGCGGGACCTCTGCTGTTGATGGAGGGTTGGCAGGGCTTCCTACCTGGCTCCGCGTCCCTGCAGCTCCTAGGCAATGTAGGCAGGGGCCAGGGCAGAGGCTGAGTCCCCTCCCACACACTCAAACTGCTGCAGAAGTCATGGAGGTCAGGGAAAGTCACGGAATCCATGACTTCCATGACAGACTCGCAGCCTTAGTCATAGTGGATTCTCCATCACTGACAATTTTCAAATCAAAATAAAATAATGCTCTAGAAATTATTTGGGGGAGTTCAATGGCCTGTGTCATAGAGGAGGTCAAACCAGATGATCACAATGGCCCCTTCTGGCCTTTGAGTCTATGAACTGTCAACAGACCACACAAGTGAGAAAAGAGCTGCTACACCACACCCCGCC